ATAATCTCGTTGAATTAAATTTAGAACTGATTCTGAAAGATTTATGAGTTCGAGTTGGAAGAGGACAATAAAGTTTCTCGCGCTTATTCTTTTCCTTCCATATATATAGGCTCATGTCTAATTATAGAGATTGTCATTCAACAACAATGATGCTGATACGACAACTTCCTCCTCATTTCACAATTCAAATACTAAGAGCATGTTTGGTTACAGATATTTGGATTTGTAGTTAAGTTCAGTAATCTTCAATTTTCAGATCCGTATCAAATGATAATTGAAAAATCACAGTTTCAAAATTAATCGAAATTTAGTTACTTTTTTATGTAAAGATAAAATCTAAACAAAAATACCTTTCGAAAAAATTCCAGCATAGAATGCTAGAGTTCGAATTTTTTACATATGATATTATAATGTGATGGAATTTCGTAAGGTGTTCCAACATAATATGCTTGAAGTTTATACACAAGAGCGCCATAATCCAGCATATTATGCAGACATTTTCGTGTTTCAACTAGGGTATATTTGTCCTGATTTTATCTCCGCATAAAACAATAGTTATTTTTCAATGATTTTGCAAATACTAACTATTTTTGGATTACCAGTCTGAAAACTAGCTAGCTCATGCTGTTTTCACCGCAATTTTCAACTTTCACACTTGGCAAAAATAGGACACAAAGGGATAATCTTTAACTTTTAGCCGCTGAGACATGTTACCTGATCAATGGGTAAACCTCAAGGTCAAAATTCAAAAATTTGTCCATAGGGCAAAACTTATGTGAACGTAATCCTTCTTATAGACTTGATTCTAAAGCGGCTAAACATTGAATACTTTTTAATGTTTGGCTATATCTTAAATAGCGGTCCTTGCGGATATATGTGCGTTGGGCTCGTTTTAACTCTGAAAGTCATGCGCCTTGTTTGGAATAGGGTGAATGACACAGTTACCCACAAAAATAAAACTATTTACTTTTACCTACCTATTTGTTTTTTTACCCATCAAACTAATTACATTTCTTACCCATAGTAGTTTTATTGGGGAATTTTCTCTTTTTCTCCAATTCTTTTTTATTTCTATGTTTTTTTTCTTTTTTTCCTTTTTTCTTTCTTTTCTCCTTTTCTTTTTCTCATTTTCTTCTTCTTCTTCGTTTTTGTTCTTTTTTCTCTTTTATTCATTTATTTTTGCCCAGATTGTATTATTGTTATTTTTGCAATAACTTATTTCACACTTAAATTTGACTCCTTCTTTATTTAATTTTTTCCTTTATTTCTTGTGTCCTTTTCTAGTTCCACGTGATTGATCTCCTTCCCTACAAATATCAGTACACACTCTATCATTAGCAGTAACACAATCAATTATGGAGCAAGAAAACCTAATCTACGGCCACCAAATCTCCATATATACTAGTTAGAATAGAAATGATAATAAAATATTAGAAAATGCAATAAAAATATTAGTAGCAAAAAAGACTTCTAGTACCATATGATACCAATATGGTATATATGTATACCAACATAGTATATGGAGCAACATAATCAGTAACCCAATCTATGGAGCAACACACTCTACCATTAGCAGTAACACAATCAGTTATGGAGCAAGAAAACCTAATCTACGGCCACCAAATCTCCATATATACTAGTTAGAATAGAAATGATAATAAAATATTAGAAAATGCAATAAAAATATTAGTAGCAAAAAAGACTTCTAGTACCATATGATACCAATATGGTATACATGTATACCAACAGAGTATATGGTTGCTCTTTGCTACAACTATCTGCGACTATACTACTGTACCAAAATATTAAAAGATGCAATAAAAGTATGAGAAAATTGCATGCTTGCATTGAAGCTAAATATTCGCAAAGCAACTTGCTCATTCCGTATACTAACATGGTATATAGTTGTATGAGGTCGTTCCAATAATTGCCTGTAACTATAAAAACTATTACATAATACACATAATCTATGTACATCGGCACACAAAAATTCTAGCATTGTAAATTACGTTCATATAAATAATTTCATAATAGAATTCACTTAAAAAAATGCAGTTAAAACAATCAAAAAAATGTTCATACTATCAAATGATACAAATATGGCATATAACTATACCAACATGATATACAGTTTTACTGGTTAATTTCCGGCAACTATATGACTATAGTACTATTACACAACACACATGCATAAAGGAAAAAGTAAAAAAAATAGTGTACCACATATTAATATAATAAAGTATTTCAAGATATTGTACTATATTACTATTATTAAAAGAAAATCAAATAGTGTACCAATTAAATGCAGCTAATACAACCAAAAAATGATTCAACTAGCATATGATACCAATATAGTATCTAGCTATATCAATAGGGTATATAGTTGTACCGGGCCGTTCCAACAACTGCATATAAATATAAAAACTATTACATAATACACAAAATCTATGTCCATAGGTACAAGAAAATTCAATAAAGCAAAACATGATCATATAAATCATTTCAAAATAGAATTCATTTAAAAATACAGCTAAAACAACAAAAAAATATTCGAACTACCATATGATACCAATATGACATATAATTATACCAGTAGGGTATACAGTTCTACTAATTAATTCCAGACAACTATATATAACTATACTACTATTGCATAATACACATGATAAAGAAAAAAATCAAAAAAAAAGTGTACCACAAATTAATATAATAATTATTTCAAGATATTGTACTAAATACTATTATATAAAACAAACGTATAAAGAACAAATCAAAATGATTACATAATATACATGCATAAAGGAAAATTAAAAAAAAAATCAAGATACTGTAATATTATACTATTACTAAAGAAATCAAATAGTGTACCAATTAAATATAGTTAATACAACCAAAAAAATATTCCAACTTCCGGTGATCCTCCAACAAAAGTCCCTACTTCTACTAATCACTTTTTCACAAGTAATTATCAATTCAATTTTTTTTTTTGTCGCCGATCCAGTTCCCCCTATGGTATTGAAGCAACAACTTTTTGTCAATTTGCTAGTTCCGATGACCTAATAATTCCCGTTAATCGCAAATTCTACGGATATGGCCGGATTTGCGATTAAACTCCCTAAAAAATCAAAATCGGCATATAGTTAAACTCTAAAAGATATTCCTAATCATTTACAACAACACCCAATTCGAACAAGTAAAAATTTAGTAAAACTAATTCAAAGATTTGAAGTTTTTAATGATTGTCAATGAAGCTTCTAATAGATTTTAATTAGGTTTATTATATTGGAGTATAATCTCTTACTTTATATACAATTGACAAATATAGTTATGCTAGATAATTAAATGAAAACCGCCTTGATAGAGATAATAAGATTTATAATTATGCATAGATACGTAAAAATTTCTTAATATTTACATATTATTAGATCTTAAATGCTCAAATATTTCATCGAAAAATGTCCTCCGTTGTACCAAATATATACTACAGTGAAAATTAGCTTTTACATTTATGTAGTTTAACCAAATGTAACATTACTTATATTTAGCTGTAGATTTTCATTCCATGTCCACTAAATTTACTTATAATGTAGAAAAATCAATTTATGAAAGTAATTATATTTCGATATAGGTACAACAAGTTTAAGAGAAAAAAGAAATGGGTAGTCGGGTAATAGGTTTGGGCTGGATAGGTAGGAATTAAATTAATTCTTAAATGGGCAAAAACGGGTAATTTATTTGAGTCTAATGGGTATATTTTTACGTTGGGAGAAATTCAAAAATAGCCAGATTTACAAATGGTCGTTCAAAAATAGCCCAATTTCAAAAGTAATCGAAATCTAGCCACTTTTCATGTAAAGATAAATCTGAGCGAAAACACTATTCAAAACCCGGAAAATACGCCAGTGTATTATGCTGGAGTTCCAGCATAAGTATACTTGAGCTCCAGCATATTATACTGGAGTTCCAGGATAAGTATGCTGGAACTCCAGCATAATATGATGGAGTTCCAGCATATGTACACTAGAACTCCAGCATAATATACTGGAGTTCCAGCAAAGTATACCGGTCCAGTATAATATGCTGGAAGTTCATACACAAGTGCTCGAATCTCCAGTATATTATACTAGAACTTTCCGTGTGTTGGAGTTCCAACATAATATGCTGGAAGTTCATACACGGGTGCACCGAACTCCAGTATATTATGCTGGACCGGTCTCTGTTGCAGCAAAATAGTGGCTATTTTTAATTGACTTGGTAAACACTGGCTATTTTTGAATGACCGGTCCGAAAACTGGCTAGACCGTGCTATTTTTACGTATATTGTGTAGTTTCCCCTGGAATATGAACCAAAGACATATGGGCTCCAAACACTCTCCTCAAGCCCATAATATTTCTCAGTTATAGTGCTTAAAATTGTGGGTAAATTTTAAAAATAGCCATATATACAACTGGTCGTTCAAAAATAGTCCAATTTCAAAAGTAATCGAAATTTAGCCACTTTTTATATAAAGATAAATCTGAGCGAAAACACTGTTCAAAACCCGGAAAATACTCCAGTATATTATGCTGGAGTTCCAGCATAAGTATACTTGAACTCCAGCATATTATACTAGAGTTCCAGAATAAGTATGTTGGAACTCGAGCATAATATGATGGAGTTCCAGCATAAGTACACTAGAACTCCTGCATAATATACTGGAGTTCCAGCAAAGTATATTGGTCCAGTATAATATACTGGAGTTTGGAGCACCGGTGCTCCAGTGTCCAGTATATTATACTGGAGCCAGCAAAGTATACCGGTCCAGCATAATATGTTGGAGTTCATACACAAGTGCACCGAACTCCAGTATATTATGCTGGACCGGTCTTTATTGCAGCAAAATAGTAGCTATTTTTTATTGACTTGGTAAACGCCGACTATATTTGATCGACCAGTCCGAAAACTAGCTATACCGTGCTATTTTCACTCAAATTGTCTCTCATTCGAAATAGCGTTGCAAAACCAGCTCCACTGAGGTTTTAGCAGAGCAACAATGGCGAAAACTGCAAAAGCTAACAAAAATGACAGTTCATCAAAGAAGAAGAAGAATAAGAAGAGCAGCAAATCAGGTCCAAAACTCAAAGACATGAAACATAAAGCAGCGGCAAAAAAAGAAAACCCTTTCGAAACAATTTGGTCACGCCGCAAATTCGACATACTAGGAAAAAAGCGCAAGGGCGAAGAACGCTGTATTGGTGAAGCTCGTTCTTCTGCTATCGAAAAGGTTATTTTTTTTGGTTTTGCAAATGGCAACTTGTTTGACTGATTTTCATTAATTAATTAACAGTTTTTGGTGATTTTGAAATCAATTACAGAGGAAGAAGACACTGTTGAAGGAGTATGAGCAAAGTGCAAAATCGTCGATTTTTGTTGATAAGCGTATTGGAGAGAATGATGAAAGGCTTGGTGAATTTGATAAAGCTATTTTGAGGTCTCAGCGTGAGAGACAGGTGAGCTTTAAAGGTTCTCTTCATGGCCAAATTTTTGATTTTTATAATCATGTTTAGCATAGTTTAGTGAATTTTTTTAATGTTGTTTAGCATAGAGTAGTGATTTTTATCATGGTAGTATAATGTAGTGATTTTAGCATAGAGTAGTGATTTTTATCATGTTAGTATAATGTAGTGATTTTTAGCATAAAGTAGTGTTTTTTTATCATGGTTAGCATAGTGTAGTGATTTTTATCAAGTTTAGCATATAGTAGTGACTTTATAAGGTTTAGACTAGTGATATTTGTATTGTTAGCTTAAAGTAGTGATTCTTATGCAGGAAAATAGTACAAACTCATTTGTGGACCAAGAGTGTCGCCTAGTGGTGAATGAAGTAGGAGGAGAGCCATGAAGATTCAGGTTCGAATTCCAATGGAAGAAAAATAGCACTAGGTGATTTCTTTCCATTTACCTAAGTTTTGGTGGACATAGTTACCTATATCTTGTACTGATAGGTAGCAGGTACCGGGTGGGTGGAACAATTAAGGTGCACGTAAGGTGGCCCAAAGACCAATCATAAAAAAAAAAAAACTCGTTTCTAAAGATGATGTTGAAGAAGCGGTCTTTCGGTGGCAATCATTGAGATTTAGTTAGATATGCTCTTTTAGCCTGGCAATTCTAAATAATGAAGAGACAGATAGAGAAGATTAGAGCTCTAGCAATACATAGAACTTTCCCTCAAAATACACAAGTTCCTTTAAAACTAAAACTAAAACTAAAAGTTATAACCTAACCAATTGGTTTCCTGGATATTCGAATACACTCAACTTACATAATCCAAAGGAGAGGGCTCGAACCCCCACAGGGGACCCAACCATTGAAAGTCTGAAAGTAGGGAGCGATAAAAATCAATTAAACCCATTTTCAAACAAAGAAAATAATAATAGAAAAGTATGGAGTCTAAGAATTGGAAAGGAATGGATCTTTGTCTGTTCATTTCGTCAGAATTGCCAGATTAACCATTAAACGCTCCTTATGATTCTAGAGGTTTAGGATAGGAAGGGGGTTAAGCGGCATTCATTAGAATTTCAATGCGCATTGAGCGAGTAATTAGTTCAGGTCTTTTTGTATGAGATAAATGATTGCATGTTTGTACTAATTTACTTGTACTTTTCTTTAATTATTTGTTACTTCTACTGTTGTTGTTGACAATTATTGTACTTCTGTTGCTGTTAATATGCAGGTGAAGTTGAAGAAAAACAAGTATAATCTGTCAGACGAGGATGAAGAGGACTTCGATATCGGTGCCTCATTGGGAAGGGATGATTTCGATGAAGAAGTCCCAATTGATGAGGATGAGGAGGATTATGGGAGAAATGGTGAGAATAATCCTTCTCAGTGTTGCTTTTCTCATCTCTCTGGCGAATAGTTTAGTTTTTATTTATCGTGCAATATTGACGATTTCAATTTCCTTCTTTTTCTCATTTCTATATGTATAAAAAATTGTGTGGAACATATATACATACATACATGTTTGTGTATGTGCTCGCGCTCATGAATAGATGCATATATTAGTTGTTTCTGGTCAGGGCCCCTAACATTATATCTGAAATAGTTTATTTAGCCCAAATTGCCTTAATTAGACGATATTATTGGTTCTTAGCCAAATCAATTGCTTGTGAATTTGAATTCTTTAATTGACTAGTACATCGACACACGCGATGCTTTCTGTTGCAGTGTTGCTGCATCATGCCATACTAGGTATATATGGAGATGGGATTTACTAGGTACAACTATGCATTCGGGAACATCTCTTGTACATCGCAGTTTCTTCGGAATGAATTTCTTATACACTTACGCTCCTCTTAGCCAACTGAATTGTTACTGAAAATAGTACAACCAATTAACACTACCTAAATATGGAAAGATTTTTTTTCTTGATAAGTACCTAATGTGAAAGAAAAAAAGAATTTTAAATTTCTGGACTCACTTTCTAGAAGACTTTGATTAGATACTTTTCAGGTGTCCCTAATCTATATATTATTAAAAGGAGAGGAAAAAGCCCTCTCCTTAAGCCAAGTGGCAGCCTAAAAAAATGCCACATGGCATAATTGGTTACTAGTTAGTTATTTAATTTATAATTAGTTATTGGTTACTTATTTTTCAATTTAAATACATATCAAAAAAGAAAATAATAAAATACAATAAAAAACTACCATATATATTAATTGGTTTGGATTAATAAATATAGATATCTTATAATTTAATATAATAAAAAACGAAAAATAAAAATATAAAAAATAACTACCCATTCAAATTGGGTGAGAGTAGTTTCAAGTTTGAGTTTTTAAATTATTTTAAAATAAAAAACGAAATTAAAAAAAATAATAAATTACCAATTCAAATTGGGGAGTAGTTTCTGTTGGTTTTTTAAAAGATGGGGCAGCAAAAATATTAAAAGTATTGATTGAAAATGTCTCTCAATTAATTTTATTAAGCATAACAAGGCTTTAAATAGCCAATCAGGAACATAATCTACAGAAAAATCTGCATAACAAGAATTCAAAAAAACTAAAATATCTCAACAAACCTAAAAAAATCTAACTGAAATTTAAATTCAAAAAAGTAGATTTATCCTAAAACTAAGTAACTTATTATGCTAAAAAAGTTACTGCAGTAACTGAAAGCAACAAAATTTCAACACTCCTCCTTTGCTTCAGTTGCTGCAATTAAAAAAGTTGCTCCTCCTCAATTCTTGCTTCGGTTGTTTGTCCTTGAGGATTGTTTTGAGCATCACTGAAATTGCACACTTTTGTAGTGCAGTTCTTTTTCTTTTTTTTCTTCTTTCTTTTTCGTCTTATGGTTTTGTGCATGAAGAACACCCTTAGTGACCTTGTCTTATCTAAAATCTCTTTTGAAAGTATTTGATTCTGGACAATGATAGGATTTTCAGGGATTGCTGGTAAGGATTGTTCTTCCTTTACAACATTCAACAAATCATAGGTTTTAAGATATGATATTATTTTCACCGCGCAAATTCGATAGTAATCGCCAGTGAAAGTTTGTGGGGCATTCAAAGAGAGACCGCTGCTTGCCATTTTTGAAAATAGGTTTAAAAATTGATATTGGTTAAAACTGATTTGAAAATGGTTTTTTTTTGGAAGAACTCACAGATCCCGTAAGATCAATGAGGCTCTGATAGCACTGTTGGTTTTTTAAAAGATGGGGCAGCAAAAATATTAAAAGTATTGATTGAAAATGTCTCTCAATTCTATATATTATTAAAAGGAGAGGAAAAAGCCCTCTCCTTAAGCCAAGTGGCAGCCTAAAAAAATGCCACATGGCATAATTGGTTACTAGTTAGTTATTTAATTTATAATTAGTTATTGGTTACTTATTTTTCAATTTAAATACATATCAAAAAAGAAAATAATAAAATACAATAAAAAACTACCATATATATTAATTGGTTTGGATTAATAAATATAGATATCTTATAATTTAATATAATAAAAAACGAAAAATAAATATATAAAAAATAACTACCCATTCAAATTGGGTGAGAGTAGTTTCAAGTTTGAGTTTTTAAATTATTTTAAAATAAAAAACGAAATTAAAAAAAATAATAAATTACCAATTCAAATTGGGGAGTAGTTTCTGTTGGTTTTTTAAAAGATGGGGCAGCAAAAATATTAAAAGTATTGATTGAAAATGTCTCTCAATTAATTTTATTAAGCATAACAAGGCTTTAAATAGCCAATCAGGAACATAATCTACAGAAAAATCTGCATAACAAGAATTCAAAAAAACTAAAATATCTCAACAAACCTAAAAAAATCTAACTGAAATTTAAATTCAAAAAAGTAGATTTATCCTAAAACTAAGTAACTTATTATGCTAAAAAAGTTACTGCAGTAACTGAAAGCAACAAAATTTCAACACTCCTCCTTTGCTTCAGTTGCTGCAATTAAAAAAGTTGCTCCTCCTCAATTCTTGCTTCGGTTGTTTGTCCTTGAGGATTGTTTTGAGCATCACTGAAATTGCACACTTTTGTAGTGCAGTTCTTTTTCTTTTTTTTCTTCTTTCTTTTTCGTCTTATGGTTTTGTGCATGAAGAACACCCTTAGTGACCTTGTCTTATCTAAAATCTCTTTTGAAAGTATTTGATTCTGGACAATGATAGGATTTTCAGGGATTGCTGGTAAGGATTGTTCTTCCTTTACAACATTCAACAAATCATAGGTTTTAAGATATGATATTATTTTCACCGCGCAAATTCGATAGTAATCGCCAGTGAAAGTTTGTGGGGCATTCAAAGAGAGACTGCTGCTTGCCATTTTTGAAAATAGGTTTAAAAATTGATATTGGTTAAAACTGATTTGAAAATGGTTTTTTTTTGGAAGAACTCACAGATCCCGTAAGATCAATGAGGCTCTGATACCAGTGTTGGCTTTTTAAAAGATGGGGCAGCAAAAATATTAAAAGTATTGATTGAAAATGTCTCTCAATTCTATATATTATTAAAAGGAGAGGAAAAAGCCCTCTCCTTAAGCCAAGTGGCAGCCTAAAAAAATGCCACATGGCATAATTGGTTACTAGTTAGTTATTTAATTTATAATTAGTTATTGGTTACTTATTTTTCAATTTAAATACATATCAAAAAAGAAAATAAAAAACTACCATATATATTAATTGGTTTGGATTAATAAATATAGATATCTTATAATTTAATATAATAAAAAACGAAAAATAAATATATAAAAAATAACTACCCATTCAAATTGGGTGAGAGTAGTTTCAAGTTTGAGTTTTTAAATTATTTTAAAATAAAAAACGAAATTAAAAAAAATAATGAATTACCAATTCAAATTGGGGAGTAGTTTCTGTTGGTTTTTTAAAAGATGGGGCAGCAAAAATATTAAAAGTATTGATTGAAAATGTCTCTCAATTAATTTTATTAAGCATAACAAGGCTTTAAATAGCCAATCAGGAACATAATCTACAGAAAAATCTGCATAACAAGAATTCAAAAAAACTAAAATATCTCAACAAACCTAAAAAAATCTAACTGAAATTTAAATTACAAAAAAGTTAGATTTAATCCTAAAACTAAGTAACTTATTATGCTAAAAAAGTTACTGCAGTAACTGAAAGCAATAAAATTTCAACACTCCTCCTTTGCTTCAGTTGCTGCAATTAAAAAAGTTGCTCCTCCTCATTCTTGCTTCGGTTGTTTGTCCTTGAGGATTGTTTTGAGCATCACTGAAATTGCACACTTTTGTAGTGCAGTTCGTTTTCTTTTTTTTCTTCTTTCTTTTTCGTCTTATGGTTTTGTGCATGAAGAACACCCTTAGTGACCTTGTCTTATCTAAAATCTCTTTTGAAAGTATTTGATTCTGGACAATGATAGGATTTTCAGGGATTGCTGGTAAGGATTGTTCTTCCTTTACAACATTCAACAAATCATAGGTTTTAAGATATGATATTATTTTCACCGCGCAAATTCGATAGTAATCGCCAGTGAAAGTTTGTGGGGCATTCAAAGAGAGACCGCTGCTTGCCATTTTTGAAAATAGGTTTAAAAATTGATATTGGTTAAAACTGATTTGAAAATGAGTTTTTTTTTGGAAGAACTCACAGATCCCGTAAGATCAATGAGGCTCTGATAGCACTGTTGGTTTTTTAAAAGATGGGGCAGCAAAAATATTAAAAGTATTGATTGAAAATGTCTCTCAATTAATTTTATTAAGCATAACAAGACTTTAAATAGCCAATCGGGAACATAATCTGCAGAAAAATCTGCATAACAAGAATTCAAAAAAACTAAAATATCTCAACAAACCTAAAAAAATCTAACTGAAATTTAATTCAAAAAAGTAGATTTATCCTAAAACTAAGTAACTTATTATGCTAAAAAAGTTATTGCAGTAACTGAAAGCAACAAAATTTCAACAATTTCCAATTGGAGTTTTAAAATTATTTTAAAATAAAAAAAATGAAAAATGTATTTATATATAATATACATATAAAATACTAAAATAATAAAATAAAATAAAAAATTAACATATATATATATATATATATATATATATATATATATATATACACTAGATGTTTGGTGCCCGTGCCATGCACGGGCCCGAGGGCGTTGCCGTTTTGCTTGCTTCAAGGGGATATTTCCTGAATAGATTGTAATTCAACATGTAATATTAATACAGCATATGTATACAAATGTAGGATGAACTTGTATTTGATTTCAAGCAATTCAGCCTTCCAAAGTTTTTACTGGTGCTCCAATGAAAGATTGAGAATGATGTTATTCTAACACAACTTATAAGTTAAGGTAATATCTAGATGATACTATGACTTTGTCATATAAATGTAAATTACAAATTTTTAAGATGACTTAAAAGGTTTCAAATAAGCAAAAAAAAAAAAAAAAAATCAGAGACATTTTGCACCAGACTAACAGGTGCAAAATAACACAGTGTAGAAAGTCAATACATATGCACACATCTCCATCAACTCCGCCTCTACTACTGTCTAAAAGAATGAAATATATGTTGAATGAATTATTTTCCATCTCAAAAATAGTACTACGTCGACACTCGAACAATATTTTGATCATATATTAAGGTGCAATTGCAGACTTGCACATACCAACCTTCGCACCTAGAGCTTGGTCTTTTACATAGCACTTCGTTTGTTGCGATCTGGCGAACTGTCGCAATCCCTATTCTCTATTCAAACTTGAGGTGACTACATTTTGTGTAGCCCACATCAGCTGTATCTCCCCTAGTTACACTTACAAAATGAGGTACAATATTATGAGCTTGATGTAACCATCATAGTAATGGAAAAACAAAAACAACAGAGAAATGGACTCAGAAAATAGTAAAGAGAAAAGTTGGACGACCAGTCGCTTGCACATATTATATGGAAGAAGATTTCCTAGTTCATCTGTGCAAAGCCTTTGGCTTCTTCAAATTGGGCCATTTGACATAGAAGTTCTCACATAAAGACTCTACCAATACTTAACACTTAAGAAATACAATGTATATCAAAATTAACTGAAGGATTTAGTCATCTTTTAAATATTCATAATGAAAATACTCAAAGAAATCAATATAAATCCATATATACCTGAAGAAGTAATTTGCCATGAAACCAGACCAGGAGACAAAAACTGGTATCAAGGTCCAATAAATTAAGCATGTAATAGTTTGAAATTTGGGAGAATAGAGATAGTATTTTCTTTCTTTGTCAATTGAATTTTACATTATCCCTGCCTAATGTAGTGAATCATAGTGTTTGGACTTTGCTAAATGAATAAATAAAAAGTTCTGGCAACAAAGGATTTGCATCATAACCTTGCCCCAGACAGTAATTATATATTTTCAGTAGCGTTTTAACAAGTCATCATGTATGACTTATTATGGCTTTCATGGGAAAGGCAAGTGGAATTAATATGAACAGTGTTAGAAACAAGTATTTTATTTTTACCTCCATCCGCATTCAAGATGCCTTTCCTTAAGGAAACATACTTTTATACTCCATACTGCAATATTTGTATCATCAAAAAATTCACCAACAATAACTCAATTATTTGTCAACACCATTTCACTCCAAACTTAATAACTTACTTTCTAACAAGCTCTGAAACAAATTTACCACATTATGTTCGTGGTTATGCTAGTCGCCTAAATGCATTGACCAGGACTATGCGTCACCACTCAAAAGAAGCAGAAAGGAAACCATGACATTGTACCTTTTTACTCCTTGTATACGAAGTTTAATATCTTGCAGATAACATTTAATGCTAACATTCTAAGTGCTATAGCATTTAAATGAAATTCATTTCCAAGGGAGGGATAAATGCATATACATATAAATATATAATAACATGTAACATATAAAAAAAGAACACATTCTGATAAGGAGATACACATCTAATAGACATAACTATACTAAATAGAGTGGAATATCACTTAAGAGATAAACAAAATCAAAAGAAACTTTTTGGTCAATATGGGCAACCGACAACATAAGAGTTGGTGCATGTTCTTATAAGATCCAGTTTTTCTAAATGTCATTAGAAGTACAGAGGCCCACAGAAAGAAACATGCAGATAGAGAGGAACATAACAAAAAATTCTAACACGATTCCTTATATAAGGTTTTAACAAGTTCTGCAAAAATAAATTTCTTTTTGAACTTCTTTATTCTTTAGAGTGTAATTGATCATTAGTAATGTTCTATATAAACACAAAAGGATGGGGGATTAAAGGTCGATATGTAATGATTATTTTTAATTTTTAAATATATTAATTAAATAAATCATCTCGTAGAGCTTTAATAGCAAGAGGGAAGGCAAATTGCATAGTCTGCATTTATTTCAAAATGACTGTTGACCAAATTTTAATAAAATAATCTTGGATTGAAAAAGAAGGAAGTAAATAAAATAAATAAGGTAATCATAGCAACCTAAATCCATTTGAAAATGAAAATTGCAAAGAGCTATTCACCTGTCTTGGAAAATAAAATATGAGAAGCAACAATCATCCTAGAAAACCAGCAGCCTGCATCTTGCCGCGAACTTGGGTTGTTGTTTGCTTCTCGCTCCAGTAGAAACATAATGCCAATAGATAAAACTTATCATCAATAAAGAAACAACATTAACAACGTAAAGTCAAAAAATAAATATATTATGAGTTGTGAAAGAATAATAAGAAAATTTAGAAGTAAGAACATTAGACCTCATATATAGAGCATAAAACTAAAAGGAATAAGGCAAACTTACCGTTTTTAAAAGTAAAATCAGTATTGTGGTTTTGAACATGCAAATATTTTGTAATACTTTTATATACGCGTATGCATATATTTTGGAGATCAAGAGCCAAGATTCGGTATTTATTATTTCACTTCTAAGTTTTAAAGTCTTCTCTCTTGTTTTATTTCCTTTTATAACTGCACGATTTTTCTACGCTCTCACTCGTAGCTTCAAAGGCATTTAACTATATAATAAGTGAAGCTTTGAAGGACGACGAAGGGTATTTCTGTAGATACCAACTTTTTTATGGCTAAATAGAAAACTATTAACCGTGAAACACGTGTTTCTCTTGCTACAGATTATTGACAAGGTTTCCCGTGCACGGGCCCAACATGCATGTTAGGCGTGAAGCTTGTCTTGGTGGTAATATTAATAGTGCTCGGCACAGAAATGAAAATAAATATATTCATATAACCAATAGTCTTTTGTTTAAATCTTGTGCACAGTAGGACAATATCAGTTGTTCATTAAAGTACTATTTTTGTGCTTTACTTGCAAATAGTATCACAAATAACCAACTTCTTATTGTAGGACGGGTGAATAGTGTAGACTCTGAAAGCTTGTGGCACTTGAGTCATTGGAGATGACAGTTGTTCGATGTGTTGAGATGCCATAAACAAAATGCTTAAGTTGGCAAGTGAAATCAGGCATCTCTTCATATAGGTGGAACTCACAGGGGATCCTAATGCCCTTCAGCGCTTTTCTTTTCCAGTTAGATTCTGTTGACTTCTTTAACAGCCACCAAGCTAATAATATTTGACCTCCATGGTGCGGTGCTGCTCTTTCCAAAGAAAACAATTTGAGAAATGTGAATCTGCTTTTTTTCATTGCCCAACTGTTCCTCGTGGTGCACTTAATGCTTGTGTATTCAAGCACATAATAGCTTCTAGTCGACTATTTCCTATGAGTACCAGCTGTAGTGCGTAGCTTAGCAGTCAATCTTGCTAATCTGAAAGCAATAGCATAGCATATTGCTTTAAATGTAATGCAGTTAGTGAGCTAGTGCAAAGATAAGTGATTGATTACCTATATAGATTGGGCTACTTTTATTTGCTAAGGTAGTGCAAAGATAAGTGATTACCTATATGGATTAGAGCTTCTTTCAGTCCATTTCTTCGCAACTCCCTCACTACCAGCTAAATCCAACAGCTAAAGCTCTTCGTGCACTCAACATATGATCAAGTTCTTAGCTTTACCATAATACAAAACTTGTTGAACATGTGAAAAACAATAGCGGAAAAGGTTGTCAGTTAGTGTAACAAAATTGGTCAAAAAGTGGAATAATGAGGCAATTAAAACTCTTAAGTATTACAACATGCTCAGAATGTTGCCTCAACAACTCACAATTTAGAAATTAGCTTTTATAATTGCTCCCATACAATAGTTATATGACATATAAAGTGAACATCCAGATATTTGCAACTTGATCGATCTTATCCAAGTTCCATTTTAGTGATCTTTACTCCGATTGAAGCACTTGAAGTCTTTTACTCCATGACCATAAAAAGACAGGTATCGCACGATTAAACTAAGTTTTGACCTTTAGGTGGTACTTACATTGAAGTGGAACAACCATTAGAGAGAGGGTAGGAGAAATTCATAAAGTTGTTAGTTAGATTTTTTAAATTTAATATTTAATGTTCAGTTTCTCGATGAGATCTTTCAAAAAAAACAAAGAGTAAATAGTATAGCAAAAATCATTTTATGTTTCTTTTTCTAAAAATAGAGTGAAATTTTGTGTTTGGATATGTTTTAAGCATACACGTACCCATAAGCTATAGAAAACTCAGACAATAGAGTTCTTTAAAAATAGAAAAAATGAATCCAACATCAAGTAGAAAATCATACTCTAAACGGCGAATTCAACACTCCAGAATTACCTGGCTTAAGTTATTTGAGGCATAATGACAAACACGTTGGCTGCATCAAGCTCTCGCCTTGTTTCTTCTCTATTTCTTTCTAGATGGAAACTCAATGTGCCCAAAGCATGTCTGCACCTGTGCAGGAAAATTTCAGACATGCATGTAAAAGTCAGATGTACATAATCCAAGAGAACATCCAAAGAACAGTAAAAATAAGAGATACCAAATACTCATTAACAACAAATTTAACATCTCGTTGGAAACTCATTAACATTGAAAAGGAGTAATAAGTACCCGTTAACAAAATGACCAAATCCGCTACAAATCAACCAAATTAGAATCTAAATTGACCAGAAATTATATAAGAATGTACTGCGGTAGAAAAAGAAAGCAAAACAGAAGTAAGCACAATGTCAATCAAATAAATGGAAGCACCCAGTAATTTCTCAAAAAAGTAATTCTTATCTTCTCTATTTTTAGAAGAAACAGAAGCAAACATGACTTCTTCTACACCATCTTTCTTCAAAGCCTCTCAGTTTCGTCTATCAAAATCCATCAGAGTTGCACTCTCCATTCCAAAAGAGAAAATTCTGTCAATTTTTCGGCAACCATCTTGTATTTCTTTTGATGGAAGAACTCTCAATTCTGCAGGTCGTTGACTAAAGGGAAAATACCATGTATTTCTCTAGGTTGATTAACGGAAAAATCGAGAAGTAATAAAAAAGAACAAACCTCGATAAGAAAATTGCTCTTTTCTACCATAGTCTCTGGAGCACTCCTCTCACTGGACAAAGAAGAGAGAAGGGGAAAAGTTGGAAATGACACGTGTTTCACGGTTAAAAGATAGTTTTCAATTTAGCCATAAAAAAGTTGATATCTACAGAAATGCCCATATATATATATATATATATATATATATTAGTATTAGTTGGTTAATTTATTTGGGTTAATAAATATAGATATCTTATAATTAAATATAATTAAAAAAATGAAAAATAAATATATAAAAAATAACTACCCATTTAAATTTCGTGGGAGTGGTTTCAAGTTTGAGTTTTTAAATTATTTTTAAAAGCAAAAGCAAAAAAAAAATTTACCTATAAAAAAAACGAAAAAAGAGAAGAAAAACTACCCATTCAAATTGGGAAGTAGTTTCAAGTTGGAGTTTTAAAACAAAAAATAAAATTAAAAAAAAATAATGAATTACCAATTCAAATTGGGGAGTAGTTTCAAATTGGAGTTTTAAAATTATTTTGAAATAAAAAACGAAAAATCTATTTATATATAACATACATATAAAAAAACGAAAATAATAAAATAAAATAAAAAACTACCATATATATATTAATTGATTACTTTATTTGGATTAATAAATATAGATATTGTATAATTAAATATGATAAAAAAACAACGAAAAATAAATATATAAAAAATAACTACCCATTCAAATTGGGTGGGAGTAGTTTCAAGTTTGAGTTTTTAAATTATTTTAAAATTAAAAGCAAAAAAAAAAAATTTACCAACAAAAAAAACGAAAAAAGAGAAGAAAAACTACCCATTCAAATCGGGGAGTAGTTTCAAGTTGGAGTTTTAAAATAATTTTAAAATAAAAAACAAAATTAAATAAAATAATGAATTACTAATTCAAATTGGGGAGTAGTTTCAAATTGGAGTTTTAAAATTATTTTNAAATTTAATACTCCCTCTGTTCCTATGTGTGATGATGTTTGACTGAGCAAGGAGTTTAAGAATGAAAGAAAGACTTCTGAAACTTGTCGTCTAAAACAAGCCATAGAAAATTTTATGGATATAAATCATTACATAATAATAAAATGAGAAGTTTAAAGTTAAATTGTTAAATATCGAAAGACGTCATTCTTTTTTAACATAATGTATCTTTTCGTATCATGCTATCATAGGTAAATGAGACGGAAAGTTTGCCGTAGGATAACTAGAATAAACAAGTAATATAACCTTATGCATAAGACATACGGGCCTATAAGATCAAAATGATCACTCATACACTAAACACAGGCCGACAAAGCCATACAAACTTTCATATACATGACATCTGTGTACAAGCCTCTAAGAGTAGATCAATACCATAAAGGTCGGGATAGGCCCCGCCATACTAATCAATACATGTCCAAATCATATTGGCCAAATAAGCAACTCCGGAGCAAACGGAGCGTACCAACACCTTCCGCTGAGCTGATAGCCTACTTGGAGGACTCTTGACCTGTCTATCGGGACCTGCGGGCATGAAATGCAGCGTCCCCAAGTAAAACGGGATGTCAGTCAAATATATACCGAGTATGTAAGGAATAATAATCAGTAAATAATAGACATGAGAGAAACATGGAGTAAAAGACTCGACATGTAAGTCTGGATAACTCTGTAAATCATGAAATACTTATAGTGTCATGCATATGCGTATGAATGTCATGTCGTGCATAGGTACATGTNTATATATATATAATAGGAGAGGCAAAGAAATGTTATAATGACAAGTGTCATAATTTCTACTAACAATATAATTATACTAAATATTGGATAATATAATAAATAAAAATACATAACGAAAAAATTATTTGATGACTATATAAGTCCCTTTAATTTAATGGTGATTTTATTTATTAAAATTTAGACAATATCTATTCTATTTATATAGAATAGGATAATCAAATAATTGTGATAATTCCAAATGTAACATCGAAAAATTAACAAAGTGACAAATATATTTTTAATATAGACCGCGCATCGCGCAGGTACGACTACTAGTATCCGTGAGTGTGGAGAACTTTTAATCTGTTATATGTTAGGGTATCATTGTAGGCATCCTAAAATTTGTTTTTTATAAATTTAATACTCCCTCTGTTCCTATGTGTGATGATGTTTGACTGAGCAAGGAGTTTAAGAATGAAAGAAAGACTTCTGAAACTTGTCGTCTAAAACAAGCCATAGAAAATTTTATGGATATAAATCATTACATAATAATAAAATGAGAAGTTTAAAGTTAAATTGTTAAATATCGAAAGACGTCATTCTTTTTTGGACCGACCAAAAGGAAAGAGTGTCAGAAAAAATTGGGAGTGCGGGAGTAGTAGATAGTCAATTACTTCAAGATGCAATGTAAAGACCAACCTTTTCCCCTCATGTCGGAGAGTTGCAGCAAATCCTGGGCATATTGGTACTTTATCAAATTCTGCAGGAACATATACAGATATTCATAAATCTGATAATTGACTTCAGAAAAATTGAGCAATGGAGCGCACAAGGTCGGTCCCATTGATTTGACGTTCAGCCGCATTTATCATTTGGGCAATCCTATTTTGGTTCCACGCTGAAATAGCACTAGAACACAACTGTAGTGCGATCATTAGCATTCTCTAGAATTTTTTGCCATGCTAATGATGGAAAGTTCCCTTCCTTTCAGTTGACAGTGGACAATTTTCACAACCAAAAGATATTACTGAAATACATCTGCCCTATCCACCATTTCTCCTCTTTAGTTTGGTGGATTATGAAAATTGAAGAAATGATATGCTGAATTGTACTATAAAACTTGTGCTGCATGTACTGTGACGTATGCTTGTTCATAGCTATGACAAACTGATAGGCTGAGTACTAGATAAATGAAAAGCAATTCTGATTGGAATTTGAACTTCTAGATACGGGGAAAAATGGAACAATGACTATTTACCATACCTTATCCCAAAAAAACATAAAAGAAACAGTTACGAATAAGTGGAGAAGCAAAATATGATATGATAAGTGAGGCATAGAAGTCCTTAATCATTGGAGATGTGTTATATGATTCTCCTTTGATTAGTTTTAAAGCCCTTAGCCAGTTTTTTCCATTTTATATGATGATATGCTTTCCATTTTGTTTCCTTTATAAAAGAGGAGCTGCTATAGAATTGTTTTCATGTCACAAGGTCTAAAGGGCTCTATTATTGGAGTGAGCAAATTGTCCCGTTTTCAGTTTTTCTTACTACTTGCTCCTTGGGCAAGTGTTAAGAAGAAATATCGCCATTTTTTTGTTTTCTATTCCTTTAATTCCATTGTGAATAGAAAATGGTCAATAAACCATTCTGCTGTCCTAAAGGTTGTAAGCTTGCCATCCATTGAATATAGAACCTTAGAGCTGCACATCTCGAAGGATGGAGGTGAAAACTGGCCTTTTCCCTTTCTCAGAATCTTATTACAACATAAAGAATGGAAGAACAACAATTCATTTTCATTTAAAGTAAAGAGACAGGAACGTTAGTATTAAATATTAGATGATGATTTTGAGTTTCTTTTGTTTTTGGTTCGTTCACTGTTTTCCATAGTCGGTTGGAGGGATAGTGGCCGCGGCGGGGAATGGTGGTGTAAGATCATGTCCTCGGGGGGCGGGGGTGGTGGTGGGGGTGAGCAAGGGGGCAGGGAGCGGCTCTGTGGGTGGGGCAGAAGGCAAGGGTGGGAAGGGGATAGCGGGCGCTCATAGATTGAGGATCGGGTCGTGGAACATAGGCACCCTGACGGGTAAGTCCATTGAGTTGGCGAAGATTCTTCAGAAAAGGAGGGTCAGCATAGCTTGTGTGCAGGAGACTAGGTGGAAAGGGTCGAAGGCGAGGAATGTAGACGGGTTTAAGCTGTGGTATCCTGGGGTCGTAAGGGGTAAGAACGGAGTGGGTATCTTGGTGGATAGGGATCTTAGGGAGTCCGTGGTGGAGGTTAGGCGAGTGAACGATAGGTTAATGTCTATTAAGTTGGTTATTGGTGGTTGCGTCCTCAATGTCATCAGCGCTTACGCGCCGCAAGCAGGCCTAGACGAGGAGGTTAAGAGGCGCTTTTGGGAGGGCTTGGACGAGTTGGTGAGTAGTATTCCCCAATCTGAGAAGTTAGTTATTGGAGGGGATTTTAATGGTCATATTGGGGCTGATGCTGGTGGTTATGGTGAGGTGCATGGTGGCTTTGGCCTTGGGGTTAGGAACGGAGGAGGCACTTCGCTGCTTGATTTCGCCAGGGCTTTCGAGCTTTTGATTGCGAACTCGTCATTTCAGAAGAGGGAGGAGCATTTGGTTACTTTCAAAAGTTCGGCGGCGAGGACTCAGATTGATTACCTCCTCCTCAGAAGGAGCGATAGAGGGTTGTGCAAGGACTGTAAGGTTATCCCGGGTGAGTCCCTTTCGACTCTTCATAGACTCCTAGTGATGGATGTCGGTCTCTGGGTGAAGAGGAAGAGGAGGGGTGCTTGGGGCAGGCCGCGGATTAGATGGGGAGCTTTGACTAAGGAGAAAGCCCAGGAGTTGGAGAGGAGGTTAGCTGATGGTGGAGCTTGGAGAAGTTCTGGGGAAGCGGACGCAATGTGGTCAGTGACGGCGAACTTGGTTAGGGAGGCAGCGCGGGATGTGCTCGGGGTAGCCAAGGTCTATTCAGGCAGACATCAGGGTGACTGGTGGTGGAACGATGTAGTCCAAGGAAAAGTGGAGGCGAAGAAGGCGGCGTTTGCTAAGTTGGCAGGGAGCTCAAGCGAGGAAGAAAGGAGAGTCAACAGGGAGACCTACAAGGTGGCGAGGAAGGAAGCGAAGCTGGCGGTCACGGAAGCATAAAATGCGGCGTTTGGTCGCATGTACGAGGAATTGGGGGAGAAAGGCGGGGACAGAAAGTTATTCAGGTTGGCTAAAGTGAGGGAGAGGAAGGCGCGGGATCTAGACCAAGTTAGGTGCATCAAGGACGAGGATGGTAGAGTTCTGATGGGGGAGTCTCAAGTCAAGCAGAGGTGGCAGGCGTACTTTCGGGACCTGCTTAACGAGGAGGGGGATCGAGACATAGAGCTAGGGGAGCTGGGGCATTCAGAGTGTCATAGAGACCTTGGGTACTGCAGACGCATTAGGATGGATGAGGTCGTGGGGGCTTTGCGTAGGATGTGTCGGGGTCGAGCGACCGGGCCAGACGAAATCCCGGTGGAGTTCTGGAATGCATGGGTAGGACAGGAGTGGAGTTGCTGTCTAGGTTGTTCAATGTGATCTTCAGGACTAAGAGGTTGCCGGAGGAGTGGAGGTGGAGTACAGTGGTGCCCTTGTATAAGAACAAAGGGGATATCCAGTGTTGTAACAACTATAGGGGTATCAAATTACTAAGCCACACCATGAAAGTCTGGGAGCGGGTGGTTGAGGCGAGGGTGAGGGAGATGACGTCTATATCCGTGAACCAGTTCGGTTTCATGCCGGGCCGCTCCACTACAGAAGCTATCCACCTTGTCAGGAGATTGGTGGAACACTTCAGGGATAAGAAGAAGGACCTGCACATGGTGTTTATCGACTTGGAGAACGCGTACGACAAGGTCCCAAGGGAGGTGCTATGGAGGTGTCTGGAGGCGAAGAGCGTGCCGGAAGCCTACATCAGAGTGATCAAGGACATGTACGATGGAGCTAAGACTAGGGTTAGGACGGTGGGTGGCGACTCAGACCATTTCCCGGTGGTAATGGGGCTTCATCAAGGATCTGCACTTAGCCCTCTCTTATTTGCTTTGGTGATGGATGCTCTGACACGCCATATTCAAGGGGATGTGCCATGGTGTATGCTATTTGCTGATGACATAGTCTTGATAGACGAGACGAGGGTCGGTGTTAACGAGAGGTTGGAGGTCTGGAGACAGACTCTCGAGTCTAAGGGTTTTAAACTAAGCAGGTCTAAGACAGAATACCTGGAGTGCAAGTTTAGCGCCGAGTCGAGCGAAGTAGGTCGGGACGTGAAGCTTGGATCTCAGGTCATCGCCAAGAGGGACAGTTTCAGATATCTTGGGTCGGTGATTCAGGGGGAGGGAGAGATCGACGGGGATGTCACTCACCGTATAGGGGCGGGGTGGTCGAAATGGAGGCTTGCATCAGGAGTCTTGTGTGACAAGAAAGTGCCACAGAAACTCAAGGGGAAGTTTTATAGAGCTGTGGTTAGACCTGCCATGTTGTATGGGGCTGAGTGCTGGCCGGTGAAGAACTCCCATGTCCAGAGAATGAAGGTTGCGGAGATGAGGATGCTCAGGTGGATGCGCGGGCTCACCAGGTTAGATAGGATTAGGAATGAAGTTATTCGGGAGAAGGTGGGGGTGGCCCTAGTAGATGAGAAGATGCGGGAAGCGAGGCTCAGGTGGTACGGGCATGTGCGGAGGAGAAGGCCCGATGCCCCGGTGAGGATTTGTGAGCGGCTGGCGGTGGTTGGCGCGAGTCGAGGCAGAGGGAGGCCCAAGAGGTATTGGGGAGAGGTGATTAGGCAGGACATGGCTAGAATGCGGATTTCCGAGGACATGGCCCTGGATAGGAAAGTCTGGAGGTCTAGTATCAGGATTGCAGGATAGGGGCGTCTAGAATTTCGTACTTCTGTCCCGGGGCTGGGGGGGGGGGGGTTGGTAGGGCTCTCCATAGATGATCTGTGTATTGTATTGTGCCCTCTTATGGTAGTTACTGGTCGATATATTTGCATGCCATTTTATTTATGGTTTATGTTTAGATAATTATTTATGTGATTTATGCTGGAGTTACTAATGCTCTATTGCTTTTTGTTTTTTGTTTTTGCTTTCCTTTTCCTTTTCCTGAGCCGAGGGTCGATTGGAAACAGCCTCTCTGCCCTTTCGGGTAGGGGTAAGGCCTGTGTACGTATTACCCTCCCCAGACCCCACCTTGTGGGACTATACTGGGTAGTTGTTGTTGTTGTTGTTTGTTTGTTTTTGGTTCGTTCTCGATCCTTGTGAACTTCTTGTTGCTACATATGGTATTTCTAAATTATAATGAAAACAATTACTCTCTCCATCCAAACAATGACCTGCTATGACATGTATTTATGAGTTAACTGCTCGAATATTTAAGTATATTGGGTTTGGTAGAGAAATGTTTAGAATGATACTAGTTTAATATGTAGAAAATGGACTAATTTGTTGCCAAGATGTCACGTTGGATTTTAAATCATATAAATAAGAATACTTTGAACTTGTAGAGGGAGAAAACCTTTTTATTCTAAAACATGTGCTGAGCTTTTCGGGATAGACCAAGAAAGTTGGTTATTGTCATCGGTTCAATGGAGAACCTTTTCACTTTTTGAGTCAGGGTAGGATAACTTTACTGTATATTGTATTTAGTTTGGCCTACTCTGTATCCTGAATGGTAAGGATACCTATTTTTCTTTTATTGTCAGATGATCCTCCTTTTTTGGCAGTTACTGCATAACAGTCTTAAGTCTGTACATTTGAAAGAAACCATGAGCTTTTGATGGGGTGGAGAACGACTATGTACATTTGAGGAATAGCTTCTCATTCCTAGTGTCTTTTGGTGCACCAGTGAGGTTCCAGTTTGTGTAAAAGAATTGGTATTGTTCATATGTTGTAGATTCTCTAACTTCTCATATACTGTTTTTTTACTGAAGTTTTCCGTTATTGATAAATTATTTACCTTCTAAAAAAGCTATGAAGTCCTTATATAGTAACACAAGTTTGGGGCAAAGGAGAAAGTTTTCGATGGTCTTGATGCTCTTGGAGACTTATAGACTAGCTTCTTCCTGGACTTTAGGGCAGCCTAATGCACTAAGCTCCCGCTATGCGCGGGGTCCGGGGAAGGACCAGACTACAAGGGTCTATTGTACGCAGTCTTACCCTGCATTTCTGCAAGAGGCTGTTTCCACTGGACTTTGTTATATTCAACAACACAACAACAACAACAACCCAGTAGAATCCCACAAGGACTTTGTTATATTCAAAAAATAAAATAAAATAAAATGAGAAAAACCATTATCTTAAACCTAGCATGGCTGCCAGCTAGAGGATTATAATCATGATAGGATTCAATCTTTATCAATATCTTGTTTACAGTGAAGGTGGTAATGTTCACCTTGGATTTTCTGCTATCTCGCATCTTAAATCGATCTTGTATGATCTGCTTTCCTCATAACAGCTGTCTGTTTCTGTGCAGATAAGTCAGCTATCTTGGGACACCTTAACTCTCATGGATCTCAGAATGCCCTAGCAGGTCCAGTGGAAGCAGAGGAAAATGTTAGATGCTTCCTTATTTTCACCTCCTCTTGATGCATATTCCCTGCTCTATCTTGGAGTTTACTCTATCAAGCTGCTAACAAATGAAATAGCGGATATCCTTCTCCCTCTAGGCCTCTACTATGATAAAGAGCTTACTTAATTGTTACGCTGACTAATGTGGCATGATTTCACCTTGTAACTTAAACTGCTGCTCCATGCTTTTTTTTGGGTCGTACAAAAAGAAAGAAATCGAAGATGCTTTGAAGGAAGGGCAGATCTACTAATAAGATCAAATATAAGTGTCTATATCTTTTCGGTTTTTGGTGTAAGTTGCTTAATGTACATGTTATTGATGCATTACTAGATCTTCAGTACCCTACAATTGTAAAAGATATGAAAGGTGTATAGAGACTGAGTTATTCTTTTGGCTGTATAGAGTACAGACAGCACCAGCTTGGTGCAATTTCATCAATAAAATTCTTCACTTATCAAAAAAAGAAATTGTTGTGCTCCACCTAAGCTGTCAGCGGGCGGTGGTATGCTTTGACTGATGATACTGAACTAGCTTTTATTTCTGATAAGATGTCATTTACACATGGGTAACAGTACAATTACATATGAGAACACAGCTTTTAGTGGCTGCCGGTAAAAACCTGGGTCCGAAAGAGATAAAAATAAAGATTGTTATCAAAAGAAACAGGTTTTTACTTTCTTACTGGGAGCATGCATCATTTTTGCGTGGGATGATAGTCACAAACATGTCTCGAAAGATTCTCTTTGTTGTTATTTGCAACCCATATGCCGTTCTGCTCCTGATTTGGTGTACCATCTTATTACAGAGGCAGAAAACAAAGAAAGAAGTGATGGAGGAAATTATTCAAAAGAGTAAATTCTTTAAGGTTTGTCATTGTTTAATGTCTTATTGTTGCAATCTGATAAGGGAATGGTTTGTTTACTTGCCATATGTTTGACAATTCTTTCATTTTTTCCTACATTGTTAGGCCCAAAAAGCAAAGGACAGAGAAGAAAATGATGAATTAACTGAACAATTGGACAAAGACTTTACATCGCTGGTGGAGTCGAAAGCCTTATTGTCACTGACCCAACCAGACAAGATAAATGCTCTGAAGGCTCTTGTGAACAAGAACATTTCAGTTGGTAATGTGAAGAAAGATGAGGTAGCTGATGTTCCCAGAAAAGCATCTATTGGAAAGGTATAAGTGGGGTTTTTTTTCCGATTGCCGGATACATTCCTGATGGATACCGAGCATCCTAGTCTTTCCTCCTTTCATATGCCTTAATGTATTTTGTTCACCATCTCTTTTAGGTTTCTAATGCATCATCCATGAACAAATTACCAATAATCTTTCTTTTGATTATATTAGATTTGTCTATGTTGACCACTTTAGATTCCTAATTTGTTTCAGGAAAAGCCTGACACTTATGAGATGCTTGTTAGTGAGATGGCACTGGATATGCGTGCTCGCCCATCAGACCGGACAAAGACTCCTGAGGAAATTGCGCAGGAGGAGAAAGAACGTCTGGAATTGTTGGAGGTATGACTGCTACGACAGAATCTAGAGCTCCTTGTGTCTCTTTATACCATGCATTACAAATGACAGTATTTGGTGCATGATGGAGAAAGTGGTTACATTTCTGTTAGTAAATTGCACAATTATTTTCTAGACCAACTCAAGTCCTTTTGACAGTGTTTTCTTTTTGAGGATTGAGGATCCTGTTTCTATTGATTAATTTTAACATAGCTGCTCTAATATTATCCGTATGTGCTTTCAAGTGGTTGTAATGTATGACTTCATTGATTGCTGGGTGTTTGATGTTCTTGCATCATCATTAGTGTTCTTTAATGCCTTCATCAGGAAACTGGCCACTGTGTATTAGTAGTGATTGCTTTTTCGAGCACTTTCGCATGGTAATGTTCTAAAACACAATAAATTCCCTTAGCAGGGAAATTTAGCTGGATTATTATTTCAAAGATCTACACTATTACGATAGGCATCGTTTTGGTAGGATAAGGAGCATTTATGTTTTGGGTATAGTAGATATTTTCTAATCAAAACTTCTTCATTTTTCAGCAAGAACGTCAGAAGAGAATGGCTGCTGCTGATGATGAGAGTGATGAAGATGGAAATGCATCTGATGATAACAGTAAATTGGTCAAAGACCCAAGAACTGTATCTGGCGATGATCTTGGGGACGATCTCGAGGAGGTGCCTAGAACTAAGTTGGGTTGGATTGGCGAAATTTTGAGAAGAAAAGAAAATGAACTTGAGAGTGAAGATGCTGCTTCTAGTGGGGATTCGGACGATGGTGAGGATGAAGGAAGTGACGATGGGGAAGATGAAGGAAATGATGATGGAGAAGATGAAGGAAGTGATGAGTATGATGAAGAGCAAGGAAAGACACAGACTATTAAGGACTGGGAGCAAAGTGACGATGATATTATTGATACTGAGCTAGAGGATGATGACGAAGGTTTTGGTGATGATGCTAAGAAGGTGGTGAAAATAAAGGACCATAAGGAGGTATCCATCAAGGGAAAACAAGTTGGCACTTTACAAACCGAAAAAGAAAAAGTGACAAGGAAGCATCGACAAAACGAACTTCCCTATACAATTGAAGCGCCCAAAACCCTTGAGGAGTTTACCTCATTGATAGACAATTGTTCTGATGATCAAGTTATTGAAGCAATTAGGAGAATTTGTCAATAACTGTAGCAGCAGAGAATAAAAAGAAAATGCAAGTATGACACTCTGTTCTCACTGTAATTTCTTTAAGATTGATGTTTGACCTCTGAGACTTTCTTCCTTCTCCTTTGTGTGAACAAATGGTATGAAGTTTTGCCTTGAATTTTTAAGAGCATTCACCATTTAACTGTATTTACCATTACCTATGAAAATATAAATTAATGAATGTTCATGTGAATATATCTGTACGTTGATCGAAACTGCATGTTGTGTTGTTAGATGATAAGGTTATGGGTAGTGTGAACTAGACAAGTCATTTTTGGTGGGTAAGTCTTTGCTACCTCAATTGCTTTATAAGTAGCTTGTTTCTTTCGTCAGGTTTTTTACGGGGTATTGCTGCAATATTTCGCTGTGTTGGCAAATAAGAAGCCATTGAATTCCAAGCTTTTAAATTTGCTTGTAAAGCCACTTATGGAGATGAGTGCAGTGAGTCCATACTTTGCAGCTATATGTGCTCGCCAAAGGCTACAAAGGACAAGGGCACAGTTTTGTGAAGATCTTAAAAATACAGGTTGGGTTGGATAACCTGTTTGTTTCTTTAATTGTTCTTTCTATCTCAGCTTGCATTCCTTGGCTTTACTTCTTGTGTTTAATTCATTTCGTCCATCCTCACAGGAAAAAGCAGTTGGCCATCTTTGAAGACCATCTTTCTGCTGAGGCTTTGGTCCATGATATTTCCATGCTCTGATTTTCGCCATTGTGTCATGACTCCTGCTATATTACTAATGTGTGAATACCTTATGCGGTGTACCATCATTAGTGGAAGAGATATTGCAATTGCTTCCTTCTTGTGCTCTTTGCTGCTAAGTGTAAGTGGATACCATGTTTCATTTATCTCCCATGCGCTGAAATTGATCATTTGTTTAAATTACGAGCGCTGGAATTTTGTTTGGTAAAGTATTCTGTGCCATCGGAGCACATATTGTTTCCGCCTGTATAATCTTCATCTTAATCAAAGCAGCATCTAGACTTCTGGATGTGTAGTGTACTGTCTCAGCCTAGTACATATCTTCTTACTTTATTAATAGTATCTGCGCCGTAGTAAACTTCTGCAGCTTACCCTCCTTGGTCTAATTTCGTCATTCATCTATCTTTGAAACAATTTATAGTTATCTCCTTTGTTTCTCCCTCTTTCTGCTTAGTTTTTTGATTAATAAATTCCCTCTTCCCCTGCCTAGTTTTGTATTTAATACATCATTTTAGTCCAGTGTGAGATCAACGATTCCTTAGAGATCTAGTTGCTTTTTAAGTCACGGCTTTAATTGCAAACATTTTCAATATCTTGCTCATTTGCTTGTATACCTCTTATTAGATTCATTTGTGATCTTCTAAAGATTTTGGTTTACACACGTGGTGTTTCTCATGCTCGAGATATGAATTCATACCCTAGCTTTGCTTGTTTAAGGTGTAAAAGGCTTCAGAAACTTTATTAGTTCTGTTCACAATCTGTAAGAGTTACTTCTGATGTACCTCTTGTACATGTCTGCATACACTTGATATTGTTACATATATTCAAATTTACCTCATCAAAGAAATAAAAAAAGGCTTCAAAAATTTTGTCACCTGAAATTTATAGGTGTCAATCTCAACAGTCAACAAGAACAACAACAACAAACCCAGTGTAGTCCCACAAGTGGAGTCTGGGGATGGTAGAGTGTACGGAGACCTTATCTTTGCCTTTAGAAAGGCAGAGAGGTTGTTTCCGGTAGACCCTCGGCTCAGGAAGGGAAAGGGAAGGGGCAATAACAAGCAAACCAATCTAACAACCGAAGCGAAAATACAAAACTAACGCTAAGTAATGCAATCAAAAAACCGAAACAAGGCAGCAACATAATAGCAATCTAGGGATAAAACACGAAGGACACTAAGTGATGTATCAAAGCTACTGTGACAAACAAGGACAACACTCGGCTACCTAACCATCTACCTTTATTCTCAACCTCCACACCTTCCTATCCAATGGTCATGTCCTCAGTCAGTTGGAGCAATGCCATATCTCGCCTAATCACCTCTCCCCAATACTTCTTCGGCGTGCCTCTACCTCTTCGCTGGCCCTCCAAAGCTAGCCTCTCACACCTCCTCACCGGGGCATTAGTGCCTCTCTTTTTAACATGCCCGAACCATCTAAGTCTCACCTCCCGCAGCTTATCCTCGACAGGGGCCACACCCATCTAGGTGTCAATCTCAGATTTTTTATTTGGTTGTCTTTTTTTTGAACAGGAAATTTGGTAGACGGTCTTAAATTTCACTTTTCCTTACTCATAGGTAATGTCAGAATGCTGTTATTTAGCATCTCGCAATTCGGTCTCTTTAGTTCTTTGCAGGTTTAAAGAGTTCATATGAAAGAACTTATTCCCATATCATTTTGTTTTGACACCAATGCGCCCAGGCAAATTAGAGGCTAGGTAACCCAGGTAGTGATATAGAAGTGCCTCATGTATCCAAGTGATTACCAATTTATCCAATGAGCTGAGCAAAGCCCACTGTCTAATACTCCCTTGTTCCCTATTTGTTATTACTTTTGTTGTCTGTTCCAAAAAGATTGCACCGTTCTATATTTCGAAAGTACTTAACTTAAACACTCATCTTGTCATTGGTACGGCTTTGTTGCAATCTCAACTGGAAACGAAAACTAATACTTTAATATGTGTAATTTTTTTCTATTTAGCTTATTATAGAAATTCTTTGTTTCTTCCTTAGAGTTTGTGTTCGGTCAAACACAGTCAAACAAATTGGAATAGAGGGAGTATCTTGCTAAAGTCACTCAACATTTAGGTTCAGGTAGTGCTTAGGACTTTCTCAGGTTAATGGAACCAGATTATTTGCAATAGTCAACTAGTCATCCCCCTTGCACCTATGAGTGACTGCACTCGACTCAAGTTGGTTAGGGTAGCTATGTGTGATTTATACTCAACTGCGGGTCAAACAGCACGTGAAAAAAATTAAAGATCGGTTGATCGTAGGAACGCACATTTTGGGATTAGGTTTTTATTTCGTTTATTCTCAAAAACATTCTTCCTGGTTGATGGTGTTTGCAATTACAGAATGATCATATGAACTTAGTTCTCCAAGCTTATGGATATCAACTTCTTGCCCTGCAGGTAATTAAACAATCTCAGAAGTTTTGTCCTGAGGCTATAGTATTTATTCAAACTTTGCTGATGGCGGCTTTAGACAGAAAACAGCGGTCTAATTCCCAGGTTTGGCTTAGCTGAAGCTTATGATGTTCTTCTTGCTAATCTAATTCTTGAAGCTGTTAACCATCGCCCTTGTCTTATTTTGCAAATACTTTTTATTGTCATTGGGATGTGTTTTGGTTGCTTCCTTCCACTTGTGAATTGACAGGCATGTTCTTGTGCTGCAGTTGGATAACCTTATGGAGATCAAAGAACTTGGGCCTTTGCTTTGTATACGCAGTAGCAAAGTGGAGATGGATTCTTTAGATTTTCTTACGCTGATGGACTTACCAGAGGACTCTCAGTATTTCCACTCTGATAACTACAGGTCAGTTAGCGTTCTATTGACATGCATATGGACAAATCTATTAGAGGAATCCCAAAGTTCGTTAAATTGTTAAATATGGCTCTATGTTAAGATACTTGAAACAAATTAGAAATATGTTCAATAAGTCTCTGTCTAGGTCCATTCAAGATGTGGTTTGTTATTCTAACTTTCAATATCCTAATATTATGATTGTCAGTCAGCTGGTTAACATAACAAGTATCTCTGCTTGAAATTCTACACCTATTTTGCTTTTCTGGGAACCTGGAACTTGATGCGATTTTATGGTTTCTCATTCAGAACCAGCATGCTTGTAACAGTTCTGGAAACCCTGCAAGGATTTGTAAATGTTTATAAGGAACTTATTTCTTTTCCTGAGATTTTCATGCTAATTTCAAAATTATTATGCAAAATGGCTGGAGAAAATCATATTCCAGATGCATTAAGGGAGAAGATCAAGGATGTTTCCCAATTAATTGATACGAAGGCTCAGGAACATCACATGCTGCGTCAACCACTGAAAATGCGGAAGAAAAAACCTGTGCCCATCAGGATGCTTAATCCGAAATTTGAGGAAAAGTAATATACTTCCTTACTGCATTATCTTAAATTAAACGAATCAAATTGTTTGTTTCCTATTGAGCTTAATCATCTTCTGATCATCTACTTCTACAGCTTTGTCAAGGGTAGAGATTATGATCCAGATCGTGAGCGTGCTTAAATGAAAAAGTTGAAGAAACGTCTGAAACAGGAAGCTAAAGGTGCTGCACGTGAACTGGTAAAGGATAATAGGTTCTTGGCCGAGGCGAAGGAAAGAGAAAAGGCCCTACTAGCCGCAGAAAAGGCTGAGAAACATGGGAAAAATCTTGCTTTTCTTCAAGAACAAGAGCATGCATTTAAATCAGGACAATTGGGAAAGGGCCGGAAGAGAAGAAGATGAAATTAGCTTTTGGTTGTCACTTGGAAGATCTTATTCTCAAATGCTTCCTGGTTTTTGGTAAGGTTTTATTCTTTATGTTGCATTAACAGTGAACATATAATCAAATTTTCCCCATTTGTTTGTCATGTTCAAATATCTGAACCAAATGTGGTCGTCATATGTAGTAGATGTAGATACTAATGAACAACCCATAATGCTACACATCAGTGTTAATGATACAAAATGTTGAATGTTTGCTCCATTATTCCAGGGCAAGGAAGATGCAGAATATTGGAAGTACAGAGGGATTGAACGAACTATTGCGTGCTCTGAGTGCTGGATTCATGTGGTTACTATATGTGCCTTCTCTCTTTCCCTCCAACTGTGATGCCACTGAAATTAGTTGCTGTATTGGTCATATCATAGGCTCGAGCTGTGAAGTGGAAGAGAACTCAATTTTTGTTTTTATGTCTTATAGCTGAAGATCAGTTTTGTCCAACTCCATAGGCGAATGTAATGTTGAGTTGTAAGAAGGGATAACTATGTTCCTCGGACTGATGCGCGTTGTTACTTGTTTCATGTTGTATTTGTCATTTGCATCTAACAGAAGAAAGTATCAGTTCATTAGTGTTAAACCATTCTCCGATTGCCACCACCTGTTATTCATGGATCTGAGATTTTTGCATATGTTAGCCCTCGCGACCATAGTTAATTTAACCATTGAAATAGTATCAGATCGGTTAAAATTCTAGTAAAAGTGGTACTAATGTTACTCCTAAATAAACTACTTCAGTTGTAGCAAATCCAGAGAAATGGTTAAAGCTGGACAAGCAGTTCCATTGATTTAGCTATGAAATATGGTTCTATATGAAAATGCTAATTACGCGAAACAAAATAAAAAATAAATATAAATTTTTGGTAGAACAATAAGAAGAAATGTCTCTTTCCTGGGTATACTTTAGAGAAACTTTATTTTAAGAAAAGGACTATAGTTTAATCATATTTCTCATAATATTCCACAAGTCTTTTCACACATGTCAAATATAACATGTCTAACTCAAACAAGTTCCAAGTTATCGGATGCTTGAAGCTCATGTGGTTTTATAAAGAATCAAAGTTTATTTAAGTACTAGTTCTGGTTTCTCCTTAGTCCTTAGGAGTGATTAGTGAGGGTAACCCCTATTCTAGGCTATAGTTAGCATTAGTGAAATTATTATAAATAAATTATTACCCATTTAGGTATGAAATTAATTTTTGACGTTCAACGTGCAAAAAAATAAAATTACTTGGTGATAAAATTTTTAAAAATATTACGTTGACTTTGACTGTTTCGTAAAACATATGTAAGTTGTGTGAATTATATATATATATATATATATATATATATATATATATATATATATATATATATATATATATATATATATATAT